AGGCACTTTGCCTTTCGGAAAGCAGCCCCCAGTTTACAACAGAAGCACTTTTTATCAGTTTTTCCTGAACAAATCCTTATGACAGGATGAGTTGTCAGTTATCTGTGGCACCCTTGGATTTATGGGCAGACTTTAGCAGTCTGGTACTCTGATAGATCTGTGGTGCATTTGATTAAAGGTGGGCTTTATTAGGCTGGTACCCCTGATAAGGGACGGTGCTTCTTTCAATCGTATATCTTCCTTGGTGCCTGGCAAGGAGGCTTTTAGATAAGGAACCAGCCCATCCCTGGAACCGGGTGGGGGCCACATCCTTCTTGGAATGTTTAGTATGCTTGGGCCACCTGCTGCTTCATAGCCCCTTAGAAGCTGCTTGACATTTCAACAGCCCCTTAGAAGCTGCTTGACATTTCAACAGCCCCTTAGAAGCTGCTTTACTTAAAATGCCTTTAGATATGTTTCCCCATTTTAGCAAGTGTTTGCAGAAGCAAATTGTGCAGTTTAAAGCTATACTAGCAAATTGTGCAGGTCAAAGCTATATATATATATTTTTTTTCCATTACATAGATATTGTTCCCTGAATATTATGTCATAAACAGGAAGAAATGTTTCAATATTGGACAAGTAACTTTTCTCACTGCAGTAAAAGGGCACTAGGGGCTGCTGTTACCATTTGCACTTTATTGGGGATTGCAGGCGCTGGGGCGGGGGCTGCTGGAATAGGATATACTTACACCCATACACAAGCATTAAGGGAGGCTATAGACACAGATCTAGATAGGCTTGAAACATCAATTACCCATTTAAAAAAATCATTAACTTCTCTTTCTGAAGTTGTATTACAAAATAGAAGGGGATTAGACCTCCTATTTTTACAACAGGAAGGCTTATGTGCAGCTCTCAGGGAAGAATGTTGCTTTTATGCTGATCATTATGGAATAGTAAAAGAATCTATGACAAAGTTTAGAGAGGGCTAGGAAACATGTAAAAGAGAAAGAGAGGCCAATGAGGGCCGGTTTCAATCTTGGTTTAACAGTTCTCCCTGGCTTACCACCTTAATATCTGCCTTAGCGGTCCCCCTCTTAATCCTCCTCTTAGTGCTAATGTTTGGTCCTTTAATTTTTACTAAAATCATGGCTCTCATTCAACGAAATCTAGGATCCATAACTATGCTCAGCCAAGTGATAGAAAATGTGGCCCAAGAAAATTCCCCCCAAACCCTTGGGTCAATATGTCTTTTCAAAAAATCCACATTAATCTTTAAGGGGATCTGCTGGCTCTCCAGAGGTGGCTGTCTAGCCAATGATGGGTACCATCCCCAGAGGGGGACAACCTAAGACAGGCACAGTCACAAAAAAGCCAACGAGGTTGAGAGGTTAGCTACCTCAACTGTCCATTACAGGGTTGTTCTTCTTTTTATAATGAAAATAGGGGGAGATATTGTGCCCATTTTTAGGGGCAAATATTATCTGTGAGCCACATGGTGCCTATGGGTGGAGGATGAAGATGGCGCCCACAGGAAGTAGGGGAGGCATAACCCAAGATAGCTCCAAAAGGTTTTTATTGGTCCTCCAGTATTTCTGCTCTCGTGAACCCTCTGTGATCGCTATGCTCAACATGTTAATACAAAATGCATGCCTGCGTGATCATTTAATTGATTGGTTAGTTCATGGAAAGCCCCTACTTGCTTGCTTATATAAATTGCAGTGTAAGGGCAATAAAGTGGAACTGCCCTGACAGAACCCCTGCCGCTTCTGAGTGTCTCATTCACGTGGCTGGGTTGGCAGGCAGCAGGCTCCCTTTTCCTGGAGATCCCTCAGTCCCAACACCACAGGGGTAATACTGTCAGCTCCTTCTCCTTCTGGGTCTGGAGGAAGAAACCAGGTGCGCCCCCACAACAAATTGTGATTATTTTATGTAAAGTGTAATAACATAAATAAAGACCATCAGATATGAAGCAATAAATCATGATTACATCTGTACCGTAGTTTCATCCTCCATAATAATAATAATATGAGTTTGAGATTCTGGTATATGCCAGGCATGCCACACCCAACCATTATGTAGAGTAGCCAAGTTTCCCACTTTCTACATGAGCCAGTTTAAGTTTTAAATTCATTTAATGCAAACAAACCCATCTGGAAATTGTCAGATATCCAATTGAATCAAAAAACTGTTTTTGCAGAAAAGTACATACATTATTGTCCTGTTTTATAGAATAGATGGTATTGTAGCACATATATTAAAAATGCAAATTTTAAGGTGATTATAATTTTTAATATATATGTTTTAAAATAATGCCATTCTGACATACACACACACACACACATATTCACTGACACTGTATAAAAATACCAATTATCTTTATTGCACAGGCAAATTGCTAAACAAAAAAACTGCAAATATTAAATCTAGACTGTATACTGATAAATTTGTGATGAACAAGGACATTGTGAATTTTGGAATGTTTTTTCAATGTATGTGTCCTCTTGTTCCTCTTTTCTTCATAGAGTAAAACACTGACCTTAAACTTGAGCTTCCCCATCCCAATCTGTGTTTGACAGAAAGGATTCTGAGTAACAGCATCCATGGAATTGTCCTCATCAGAATTTTGTCATCTAATATTTTATTGGCCTTATTTCCCTGTTAATTCATATTTTCCTTAATTTTTAAATGTATCTTGAAGTAATTTTTGGCATAAACAAATGTTTCAGAAATAAGACAGAGAATACCATGTACTCTTCACGTACATTTTTATCTTTATACATGTTTGTGGTAGTTATTCTTATCCAGTATAAGGATTTGCCTTTCTTGCCAAAGTCCTTACCTCAAAACCAATGTCCTTGATGCTGAATGTCTGGATCTGATATGAGATCCTGCAGGATGTTGTCTAAGACCAAGGATACTAGTTGTTGCTGAGGAATAGGACATGAGGCCATGGGAACACATGCATGGGCTAAAGTTGTCATCCATCATTTAGATTTTTCCAGAAGCAGAAAGACTAATAGAACACTGGAAAGCGCAATTCAAGTTTCTGAAAATAAAATCAAATTGATGTGACCGAGAATGTTTTATGACATCATATTCCAGAAGAAACCATGAGATCTAAATTAATTCCATCAAAGGCATTTCAGTGTAATCTAGTTCCCAGCATATGGTCCAAATCAGTGCGTAGTACAGGAGCCTTGGGCCCAATAGCTACAACACAGCAGTCGGGAATAAGAGTGTAGAAATAGGATTAATTGCTTTCACTATATTTGTGGAGACTAAATGCAAAGTTTTATTTACACCTTCACAGTCCTTCTACCAGGGCAAAGAAGTGGTTCCACTTAATCTGAGTCTATGTTTGTTGTCTTCTTAAAGGGGATACTTATGACTGTGGAGCAGCTGATAAAGAGAGTTTCTCTACCAGGGATGGTAAGTGCCCCATGTCTTTCAGGCTAAGATGGCACCTATGCACCGAGACAAAGAGGAGTCAGTCTGGCCTTTGTGACAGAGCAGATTGAGTGGACCTGTGTGACCAACTAAGAAAAGAGAAATATAAGGATACACTGGACTGGATTTTTGTTGTTCCTTTTCATGACCCCCGGGCCAAGACTTATTTTAGCAGCAATTGTGTTGGATATTTCTGTATGGACATGATCCATCTTTCCCTGAAACAGCTCTCAGGTTATGCATAACTTCCTTCCTGTAGTGGAAACTTTGAGACCCACAGGTCGCTACCGCCCTGATGTGTAGATATGTTAAACCTCTCAGGGGTATCCACCAGCAACGGAGGTTGAAACAGGAAGATAATGCCCCACTCTTAGTGCCCCAGGTCAATATGTGCCTTCTCAAGAAGTTCCAAGGGAAGGATCTCTATTTCCTACTGGTGGTGACCTCCATAACATCAAGCCCGTTCATTCAACTTTATTTGCTATTTTAAAGCATAGAAATTTATTTTAGTGCATTTTAAACTTGAGTTCCCAGACTATCTTTCTTCAGTGATTTAAGGATCTAACGCTGAACATGATTTTATTGAGAGCTTTTGAGCACTGATCAGCATAAATGGAAAATAATATTTTATCCCCCTTTTTTTCTAGTTTAATATTTATAATTTTATTTTTCTAGACCTTAATTTTTTTCTTTAGCAGTTTTTCTTAAAAATAAATTTACTATATAATAATTTTATTATTTGTATAGAAACTTCTTAAAAATATATATCTGAGGGTTATGGCACTGAATATCCATCTCTGTTTACCATAAATGATGCCCAGATCAGAATAAATAATATATTCAACATTATGCAGTATAATATATTTTGAGGCCCTTTACCACTTCTATGTTAACCCCTCCTCCCTCCCCATTTCACACTCTGGTGGCCTAAGTATGACCTCTCCTTTTGAAAATTCAACAAGTTATTGTGATAATTTTGTCTTTCTTTTTCTACTTTTTTTTAGCTCCCACATATGCATGAGGTCGTGTGGTAATTCTCTTTCTGTGCTCAGCTCATCTCAATTAACATAATTTTCCCTAAGTTCATCCATGCTGCTGCAAATGGCAGAGTTTTGTTATTTATTTATTTGGCACAGTAGTTTTACATTGGTATATATACCAAATTTTACTTATCCAGACGTCCACTACTGGGCATGTAAGTTGGGTCCAAATCTTGGCTACTGTAAATAGAGCTGCGTTAAACATGGGAGTGCAAGTATCCATTCAATGTGACAATTTCCATTCCTATAGGTGTATACCCAGCAGTAGGATTCCTGGATCATATGGTTGATATATCTGTAATTGTTTGAGGGACTTCCATACTGTTTTACATAATAACTGCACTGATTTACAATCCCACCAGCTGTGTAGGAGGGTTTCACTTTCTCAGAATCCTGCCCAACTTCTCTTACTCTGTCTTCTGGATAATGGCCGGTCTATCTGAATGAGATGATAAATGAGTGTGGTTTTGATTTGTATTTACCTGATGTTTAGTGATGTTGGGAATTATTTAATGTGTCTGTTGGTCATTTGTATATCTTCTTTTGAGAAATGTCTATTAGGCTCCTTTGTCCATTTTTTAATCTGGTTCATTTCATTTTTTCCTATGGTGATGTTTTCTGAGGTCCTTGTATATTTTGGATAATAATCCCATGCTGGATCCACAATTTACCAATATTTATTCCCACTCCATAAGTTTTATTAATTTTTTTTTTTTTTTGGTTAATTTTTTTCCTTGGCTGTGTAGAAGGTGTTCAGTTTGATATAATCCCATTGGTTTATTTTTTTTTTCTTTTGTTGCCTGTGCTTTGGGTTCATTTTCATAAAGTTTTTCATCAGTCCTACTTACTGAAGTGTTTCACTTGTGTTTTATTCTAGGAGTGGTAAGCTATCAAGATTTATATTTAAGTCTTTAATGCATTTTGAGTTGATTTTCAAATACGGTGGAAGATACAGGTCTAGTTTTATTTTTTTATACGTGGTTTTCCAGGTCCTCCAGCACAACATATTGAAGAGTCAGTCTTTTCACCGATGTGTGTTCTTGGTGCCTTTGTCAAAGACCAGTTGGCTGTAAGTATGTGGATTGTTTTCTGGGTTCTCTGTTCTGTGCCCTTGGTTTTAGTGTCTGTTTTTATGCCAGTTTCATGCTATTTCTCTTTCTATAGATTTGTAGTGGAATTTAAAGTCAGGTAGTGTCAGGCCTCCAGCTTGATTATAATTTTCTTTCTCTGCATTGCTTTGGCTGTGTGGTGTCTTTTGTTATCTGATGTGACTGTTACAATAGATTTTACAATTTCTGTGAAGAACGTCATCAACCCTTTGTTTGCAAAGTATCTATTTGTCATGTTCTATTCCAAAAGCAGAATTTCTGTGTGTATCTGTGTGTGCTCTTGTGTTTAGAATTTTGACAAGCTCACTTGATGTAAATGCTGTCATAGTACAGGTTAGAAACACAAAATAAAGCATCATTTTATCAACAGAAACAGCTGTGTCGTTTTCCCAATAAATTAATTCAAGAAATTTTTAAAAATTGGAAGACAATTAACAAAACATATTAAAAACCTCTGATGAATGGAAGTTGAAGAAAATCCACCAGGGAATGTCCAAAGAGACTTTGAGGCTTGTTTCATGACCATGTTCCACCTTTAGAGAATCCCCAGGATTTTATTGTTTACTTGTTACATATGATGAAAAAAAACCAAGCAGTCTTTGTAAAGTCTCACAAGTTCTGATTTCAGATAGGAACCAATTCATCTATATCATGTAGAGCTGATTAATATAAATATCTAACTAATATTAATTAGAAATCATCTGCATCCATCATGTAGTTATATTTACTGCTTTTTAGTTTTTATTATTAGCGTACTCATTATTACAAATCACAATTTTTCTTCATGCCCTTTACCTGCCTTGACGTTCCCATCCACACTACCTCCCTTCCCCCATCTCTAGTGTCCTTAGGGTTGTTCCCTCCATCTGAACATTCAACATACTATTCCTTCCTTCCTTCCTTCCTTCCTTCCTTCCTTCCTTCCTTCCTTCCTTCCTTCCTGCTTTCTTTCTTTCTTTTCTTCCTTCATAGCATGCAGTTATGAGTGAGAATATACAGTATTTCTCTTTCCTTGTTGGCTTATTCACATAATATAATTTTCTCCAGACTCATCCATGTTGCTTCATATGGCAGAATTTCATTCTTTTTTATGACTGAGTAGTATTCCATTGTGTATATATACCACATTCTCCTTATCCAGTAGTGTGTCAATGGACATTAAGGTTGGCTCCATATTTTAACTATTGGAAATAGAGCTTTGATGAACATGGGAGTGCAGGTGTCCATTTGACATGAAGATGTCTATTTCTTTTTATATAAATCCATTAGTAGGATGGCTGGATCATATGATATTTCTGTCTGTAGTTGATTGAGAAACTTCCATATTGTCTTTACTAATTTACAATACCACAAACATAATAGGAGTTTTCCGATTTATCCACATCTAGCATTTGTTATTCACGGTCTTTTTAATAATGGCCAGTCTATGTGGGTTGAGATGATATCTCAATGTGCTTTTGATTTGCATTTTCCTGATGATTAGTGATGCTGAACATTTTTTTCATTTATATGTTAGCCATTTGCATATCTCCCTTTGAAAAAGTCTACTCATCTCCATTGCACTTATTTTAATTGGATTATTTGATTTATTTTACTGTATAGGTGTTTGGTGACCTTATATATTATGTATATTAATCCCTTGTCAGATGTCTAGGCAATGACTTTGTGAATAAGACCTGAAATCACAAGCAAAAAAATAAAATACATATACAAATGGGATTATATTAAAATAAAAATCTTCTACCCATCAAAAGAGACAATCAATGCAGCAGAAACACAAACTACAGAATGCAAGCAGTTTTCTTGAAAGCACAGATTATCTGTGAGCACACAGCAGCTGCTGACCCCAGGACACCTCTCACATCTCACACACCTTATGTCAGAGGACATGCAGACAGCCCCACCAGCTGCAGAGCACTGAGGTGGTCAAGCCCATGGGAGGCTGGGTTCAGACAACAGTCAGGGAATGGGCTGAGTAGTGTGGTCAGAAGCATCAACCCTTGTGACTCAATAACCAGAGGACCCATGTACAGCCAAATATCAGAGCTCTAAAGTTTGGGAACAGACCTGAAGCAGGATGGAGATAGACATGTTCCTCCGAAAACACTTTTAGGGGAAAATTACTAAATCACATTAGCAAATTAGCTGAGTTTTCTAATTTGGAACCTGGACACAGGACAGCAGAGTGTGTTTCTATATTTCAACTGAGCATGATTATTAATGGAAACCTTTTTAAATCATTACATGTGGCTTTCCTTTACATACAGTGACAGTCTCAAAATTATCACACAGATCAGATGTGAACTTCAAAGGGCTGAGTACATAATATGCAAATAGGAAATCAACCAGTGTCATGCTCACTTTTGCATTTAAAGGGGAAATTTAAAGTGATTCTGAGTATTTTAGTTAACATTAACTAATTTCCTCAACACTCTGTTACATTTGAAGTTGAACTGGATTATCCTGTGTTAGAAATTCTGATAGGAAGACCGTGATCAAAGTGTGACATGGTGATTGGTTCGTTACCACGTACCAAAAATGGGCAGTTTGTAGAGTTATCTTCATGCATAATTGAACTTCAATGAAGCCTTTGTCTAACATCTAATGTTCTACATCTGCATTGCTCTGGCAGGTATTTTTATTGTTGATTTCTGGTCCCACATTCCCAACCATCTTGTATTCATGTACTTACACCATTTCACAGCAAATATGGCTAAAAGCATGCAATTTTTGTAATGAAACCCCCCATTTTGCCTTTTCTTTTACCTTTCAGGCTACTTAAACTTAATCCAATTACAGGCACATTTTGAGAAGGTGTGGTGTATTACCGATTTTTCTCTAACATTATTCATGATCCATATGCCCTCTTTCTTCTTTGCCTAATAAGTCTATTCTTAAATCTGTTCTCTTTTTTCATCTTGATAGTTTTCTTTATCTCTCTTTCTTCTATGTCAATGATTCCACATATATTAGGGATTATCTCCTCAGTTCATGTTTCTGCTGGTTTCTAATCACTTTGGTGTTTGTTAATTTATTATTATTTATTATCATTATCATTATCATCATCATCATCATCAATATTATTATTATTATTATTATTATTATTATTATTATTGCTTTTTGCTTAGGGTTTCACTAAAAATGCAAATAATATTAATGGTTAGTACTAATGACGTAAAAATAGTTTTTAATATTGTTCGATTTATTTAAAGGACATTTAAATTTTCTCAGCCAGTACTTTTACCACTTTTCTGACACCCCATCTAAGGCCATTTTTTTGATGAATATATTTTCTCTTTTCAGTGGTGTATGACTCTTACTTAATGAATTTTCAATACTATAATTATCCTAAAATATTTTTTTACACTAGATCTATCCAATAAACACAACTCTCTTTCCAAGTTAGAAACCAGCATGGGCATGAGTCCTGCAGGACAATTATGATTCAAAGAAAAAGGGTGTGATGCACTAACTCTCAAACACACAGGGCCATCTTGTCACTTTGTACTGAGGGAGATTCTTCCTACACACTGAGACTTACTACAGAACAGGACTGTGAAGTTTCACATTTTCTTCTATAACAAGGAGTTGTTCAGCATCAATCAAATGGACATTTCTGGGTAGATTTTCAAAAGACCAATGGGGTGTGTGTGTGTGTGTGTGTGTGTGTGTGTGTGTGTGTGTGGGTGGGTGTGTAGAGAGAGAGACAGAGACAGAGACAGAGGTGACACAGGCTCAGTGTGTCAGGCTCCAGTCCACACAAACACCTGTTTTCCCATTTATCCTGAAATTGCAGATAACACACACTTTTTATCTTTTGATGTAAGTCAGGGCCATATGACAGATTATGGCAAAGGAAGCGTACACAGGAATCACATACACCCTCACAGCCTGGCTAATTAACTTAATGTTCTACAGGAGGAAAGTTCCAGTTACGCAGGATGAACAAGTTCTAGAGATCTGCTCTACAACACTGAATTTGTGGTTAACAATCCTGTGTCATGCACTTATATTGAGTCAATAGGGGGACCTCATGTTTATTGTCTTTACAGCAGTTAAAAAATAATCCACCTGGAATTCCACCTGAAATTCATAATTCCCTCAACTTCTGTTTTCTGTTAAATGTCTGTCCACAAGGTGTAGATCTGGAGTCTTACACCAGTGGGAGTCTTGGTTCCTGAGTGACGTTATGAATCAGTCACCTCTACTCACTGCAACTTCAAATTCATAATTCCCTCAACTTCTGTTTTCTGTTAAATGTCTGTCCACAAGGTGTAGATCTGGGGTCTTACACCAGTGGGAGTCTTGGTTCCTGAGTGACGTTATGAATCAGTCACCTCTACTCACTGCAACTTCCCTCCTGAGCATGTTAGAATAGAAATGAGCAAGATGCAGATCTTTGTTCTTGTACCTTATTCCACTGAGATGCTGGGCTGTTTCTCCATGAGGCAGAGCATCCTGATAAGTTCTCCTGGACAAACAGAGGTGGGCAACTGGGACTCTGTAGAGTCAACTGAAGGTTTGAAAAACAAAAAACAATGGAAACGTAGATGCACATACAGAGTTTTTTAAATGTCCTCTCTTATAATTCCAAAATCTGTATCATATCTTATACTAGTTCTAGTACTTGCTTTATCATGTCAGAGTCTTTGTTTATCGTCACCTTTTTACCAGGTGTTTTAACACCTTGATAAAACTCCAACACAGTGTGTGAGTAAACATGACCTGAAGATTCATCCCGAAATTGCCCATCAGCAGCTCCTGTCTTGTCATTCATTCAGGACTCTTGAAGAGCTGTCCATCCTTGACATGCAGCTGTGTTTGGGACTGACATGGACCTCAAAGGGGCAAACAAATCACAGCATCCAGCGCAGGCCCTGGCCTTTTTCTCTGTGGTGTTCAGTCATCCAGAGAGTGATGCCCACAAACATGGACTGGGTCTCATGCCCACAGACAGGTGCATATCAAGGGAAATTTTGTTTTTAAAAGTTTAGCAATAAGGATTTTATTACTGCCTTCATGGTAACCATTATAATTGATTTTATTTTTTGATATCTGATAAGATTGGTGGATTAAATGAAGGAATAAAATTTATAAAGTGTGGGTGAGAAGTGAATTTAAGTTGAAAATTTGTACACTTTAGATGAACAGGAATGACCATGGAATGGAGGAATTTAAGATTTTTATCTTTCCCAGACATTGAGGATCAGTGTCCTGAGTAATGCACTGGGCATTATTTACTGCAGAATCTCTGTGGATTCTGATGTGCTGTGTCTTGTATGGCAGGATGGAAAACACAAGGCAGGCCTGGAACTCATGTAACAACAACAATATAACAAGAAACAAGCTCTTAGGTGTGATGAGAACCACATCACAGGAGAGGGTCCAGGGAAAGAAAGCAGGATTTTTGCTGCGATCTGAACTGTAGAAGCCAGACCCAGAGCCTGAGTTTATGTGAGAGAGTTGGGCTGGGTCCAAGTCAGCACAGGAGAACACAGGGGTTGAAGGGAGGTAGATCTGGGCTCAGAAAACTTGGGACACATTTTGGCATGTTTGAAGCTCACCAAATTCCCTCCAATACCATAAATACATGTCAAATAATTTCAAGAAAAAAAAACACATAAGCATTTCAAAAAATACAATATTTCCCACCTCAGTTCCTCACCGCTTATAAGGACAGAGCTCCCAAACATGCAAATTTTCCTTCAAGCTCTAGTGTAAATGTAGACTCATGGGTGGTCGATGCTCACAGGTCTGTCCTCAGACAGGGCTCCGGTCTTGGGGAAGGCAGACTTGAGATCTAATTGAAGATGAGACTGTGGGGTCTTCTCCTTTGCCTGGTGACAGCTCCCCAAGGTGAGTATCTCAGATGTCACACATGGGTTCTGGGAAGTTTGTTACTGAATGTGGCTGACAGTGATTGATTCTCCTTGTCTCCAGGTGTCCTGTCCCAGGTGCAGCTGCAGGAGTCAGGCCCAGGACTGGTGAAGCCCTCGCAGACCCTCTTCCTCACCTGCACCATCTCTGGTGACTACATCACAACCAGTGGTTATAGTTGGCACTGGATCCGCCAACCCTCAGGGAAGGTCCTGTAGTGTATGGGACACAACAGTTATAGTGGTGGTACAGCTTATAACCCATCCTTCAACAGCCGCACCTCCATCACCAGAGACACGTCCAAGAACCAGTTCTCCCTGCAGCTGAGCTCTGTGACAGATGAGGACACAGGCATGTATTACTGTGCGAGAGACACAGTGACAGGAAGTCAGCGTCAGCCCAGAGGAGCAGGTGCAGAGAGGGGATGGGGGTTCCTCCTGGGATCTGAGGTTTCCTCTGCTCTGCTGACTCCCAGATATCCCTCAGGATCATTTCCTGCTTTGTTCTTTATGACTCTAATTTCTCATATTCTCACTGCAGGCAACAAAGAGTGAAGTAACTTTCCTCATGTGCAGATAAGAATGTTCTTTTCACTGGGAACATTACTTTCTCAGGCTTTTTCATGTCATTTTTTTTCCTGACACCGATCATTACGATCTCGTATTATTTTCCTGAAACTTTAGATCAGTCCAGCAGCATCCTGTCCCTAAGTCAGCATTTTTCCCTAAATAAAGTGCAGCTACACCCTCGTGGTTATTATCATCCTACAGGACCCTGCCAATGGCATCTCTATACTCAATGAGGCAGTTTAGCCTCTGGATCTTCATCCACACTGTGGACACTTTTGTTCAGTATTTGTTCCTCTCTCTGTCCTTTCCTCAGTGTCCTGGATGGCGAAGCAGCTGCCTGAAAGGGCCACACACAGCTCTTATATTTCCATGTGGAGGATTCTGGGTGACAAGCACAGAGATAAAAACCCAGCAGAGCCCTGCTGGGCTGAATTTTGGGCTGGATCTCTCAAAGTAGCCTTGTGACCTGTGACCTAAGACTTGCCTCTCAGTTTCCATGGGGAGAATCCATGTGGATAATGAGAACCAGCTGACAGAGTCCTGTGTCCTGCCCACTCTCTGCTGTATCCCACGAGTCCCAGAGACACTTACCCTAGTGTCACCTTCTGTCATCTCTCATGTAAATTCTCACCTGATCTGTCCCTTGACACTCTGCTCCACAGGTCTAGAGCCTTGCTCAGTTCCTGTCAACTCTCCCTGTGCAGGTGCAGATCAGAGGCTCAGTGATGAGGATGAGCCGTGAAGGCAGAGACGTCACGTGGTGCAGAGCAGGGAACCTACGGCTTGTATGTGTTTCAGGAAATGAGGAAACTCCACATGTAGAGGAGGTGGAACAACAGCATGGTCTAGGGGAGAAACACGGACAGGCTGGATTCATCCATTGAAAACTTTGTCCCTGCAAATGACTATGATACAAGGAAAATGAAATGAGATGAATGGGTTCAGAACCATGCCAAGCCTGACTGAGGCTGTGCAAAATAACGCATTAACTGCACATGTCTGCCCCCCCGCCCCCCCCCCCCGCTTCTTTGCTGTTTGATGTCATTGCGCATATGCCCCAAGGTGTTCCTTGTTTATCTGTCTTAAGTGAAAAGGACAATCTATTCTGGTCCACACTGCCCACCTGGACACCCCCTCACCTTGTGAGAGGCCACCAGGCCTCTAATGCTGTGGCAACTGCTATAAGCTGCTGCTGCTGTGTGGGCTGGGGCTGAGCCCACATCTGAATGAAGGCTTCCATCTTTGCAAATGGCTCCCAGGATCTTTTCCAATTACCTGGTTCGTGACCTGATTTTGAGGGATCTGTGATGCAGCCTGTATGTTATATGAGGTATCTCTGACTCAGTCTGAATATGAGGGTTCCACGACCGTGTCTGCATAAAGGGTTGGAGAGGTCTGTGACCCAGTCTGGACAAGACGTTTGAAGGATTTGGGAGCCGAAGCATGAGAGGATGACAAGACAAGCAACAGACTCTATAAAATGTCCCCTGATGTCCTTGTTTTTGTCTCCTTGTGGACTACATTTTCGTGGACACTTATTAAGTAGTGTCTATGGTGCACGTGGTGTTATAGTTTTTCTCCGTCATGATACAGAAGCCCTGTTGATGTGGGTAAGGTGTGGGGTAGGGGAAGCAGTGCACAGTCCTATGATGAGTTCTGTCCTTTAGTGAGCTGTGTCCTGGGTGGGACCTTCCCAAGTGCTTCCCCCTTTACCCTCCCTTAGGGGAGAATGGAAGGCTTTGGGGGAGGGGGAGGGGCCTCATTTTTTCTCTTCTCTCAGAGAGACAGACAGACAGACAGAGGTGACATATGCTTAGCGTGTTAGTCTCCAGTGCACATCCCACCGTTCTCCTTCATTCTGAAAACAACACATAACATATGTTTTTGATATTTTGATGTAAGTTAGAGCATATGATTAATGATGTGAATGGAGATGTGCACAGATGCCACATACACACTCGCAGCCTGGCTCTTTAAATTAAAGTTCAACATGTATAACATTTCAGTTACACAGGAGGAACAAGCGCCAACACTGGGCCCAGCATGACCAATACTGTTCTGTGCACTTACAATGTGTAAATAGAGTAGAGCTCATGTTGAGTGTCTTTACAAAAGAAGAAAAAAAATAGTCCATCTGAAATTCAATATTCCCTCTTCTTCTGTTTAATGTGACATGAAGGGCTGTCCCTCCATGACATGGACCTGCCCTTGGGACTGCGAGGGAGCTCCCAGGGGGTGACTCAGCACAGCATCCAGCCCAGCATTTAGCCCAGCCCCTGGCCTCTTTCTCTGTGCTGGGCAGTGACTGCAGTCATGGTATGGCCATCATGGACCCCAGCAGATGGCAATGAAAGAAAATTATATTATTAAAAGCTTCATGCTGATGAATGATTTTCAATATTATTTTGTGCTTGTATCGTGACCATTGTAATTGATTTTTTTAAGCTGGGATATCTAATGAAATTGTAGTATTAAAGGAAGGATTAATATACATAAAATAGGATGAGAACTGAATTATATTGGAAATGTGTACACTTTGGATGCACAGGAATCACGTTGTGAAAGGGGCATTTAAAAGAGTCTTTATGTCTTTCCCAAACAGTGAGAATCAGTGTACTGAGTAAGGCACAGGGCACCAGTTTTTGCAGAGTCTCCCTGGGTTCTGATGTGCTCTGTCTTATATCACAGGATGGAGAGCAATGGGCAGGCCTGAAACTCATGGAACAGCAACAATATTACAATGTAACAAACTCTCGGGTGTGATGAGAACCACATCACAGGAGCAGGAACAGGGAAAAAAAGCAGGGGTTCTGCTGGGATCAGTGCTGGGAAGTAAGAGGAAGAGCCTGGGTTTATGAAGGAGAGTTGGGCTGCACCAAGACGCCATGGAAGGCAGGGGTTGAAGGAAGGTAGATCTGGGCTAAGGAAGTTGGGGACACCTTTTGGAATGTTTCAAATTCGCCAAGGTCTCTTCCATTCCATGATTGCATGTCAAATAATTTTAAGTAAAAAAAATGCACACAGGCAATGTGGCTCACCTAAGTTTGTAATCACTTATATGAACAAAGTTCCCCTCATGAAAATTTTCCTTCAAGCTCAGGATAAATGTTGACACTTGGGCTGTGGAAGCTCACAGGTCTGTCCTCAGACAGGCTCAGGTCTCTTGGGAAGGCAGAGTTGGGGCCTAATAGAAGATGAGATTGTAGGGGCTTCTCTTTTGCCTGGTTACAGCTCCCCAAGGTGAGTGGCTCAGATGACACACATGTTTCTGTGGGATGGTTGTGACTGCACACGACTTACAGGGATAGATTTTCCTTGTCCCAGGTGTCCTGTCTCAGGTGCAGCTGCAGGAGTCAGTCCCAGGACTGGTGAAGCCCTCGCCGACCCTGTCCCTCACCTGCACAGTCTTTGGTGACTCCATCACCAGTGGTTATGATTGGAGATGGATTCATGAGCACTCAGGGAAGGGGTGTGAGTTAATGGGATATATTAGTTCTGCTGGCAGCACAAGTTATGCCCCATCCCTCAAGAGCCTCATCTCCATCATCAGAGATATGTCTAAGCTGCATTTCTCCCTGCAGCTGAGCTCTGTGACTTTCAAGGACATGACTACATATTACTGTGCAAGGGACAGTGAGGGGAAGTCTGTGTGAGCTCAAATACAAACCTCTCTCAGGATACAGGGAGTCTGGGCTGCAGGGGGCGCTCAAGGCCACCCAGCTCCTGTGTCCCATGGAGCAGGTGCAGAGAGGGGATGGGGGCTTCCTCTTGGGATCCGAGGTTTCCTCTGCTCTGCTGACTTTCAGATGCCCCTCAGGATCATTTCCTGTTTTTTGTTTGTGACTCTCTTTTCTCACATTCTCACTGCAGGCATCACATAGTGAAGTACTTTCCTTATTTATAGATAAGACGTACCCATAAACTAAGAACTTTATTTTCTCAGGTGTTAACATGGCCTGTGCTCTTTCCTGACACACAAATCAATGCAGCTCCTGTGTCCCATGGAGCAGGTGCAGAGAGGGGATGGGGGCTTCCTCTTGGGATCCGAGGTTTCCTCTGCTCTGCTGACTTTCAGATGCCCCTCAGGATCATTTCCTGTTTTTTGTTTGTGACTCTCTTTTCTCACATTCTCACTGTAGGCATCACATAGTGAAGTACTTTCCTTATTTATAGATAAGACGTACCCATTCACTAAGAACTTTATTTTCTCAGGTGTTAACATGGCCTGTGCTCTTTCCTGACACACAAATCAATATAAAAATTTTTATCTTGGGAGGTTTCGGTGATGGGACACAATAACTAACTACATTGTATATTGACAAAATAAAAATAAATAAATAAATAAATAAATAAATAAAATAAAAATAAATAAATAAATAAATAAAAAGAAATTATAAAATGGAATCAAACAGGAAAAAAAAAAAGAATTTTTATCTTCCCCTGGTCAAGAATATGATGATTCATATTCCTCTGGGTATATACAAAGAAGGGTGATTGCTGTATCATATGGAAGATCTATCTGTATTTGTTTGAGAAGCCTCCATACTTTTTTCCCATGTGGTGGTACTTATTTACAGACCCACCAACAATACAGGTGTGTGTCCTTCTCTCCACATCCTTGGCAGCCTTTGTTATTTACTGTCATGTTGATTATAATCAGTCTAACGGAGGTAAGGTGGTATCTGAATGTAGTTTTAATTTGCATTTCCATGTTGACTAGTGATGTTGAGCATTTTTTCATCTACCTGTTAGGCATTTGTATGTTTTCCTGTAAAACATACCTATTCAACTACTTTGCCTGTTTTTTAGTTGGGATTTTTTTTTTTAACTATGTAAGTGTATAGTACTGGACGTACTAGCCAGACTAATCAGACAAGAGAAAGAAATAAAGGGAATCCAGATTGGAAAAGATAAAGCCAAACTGTCTCTATTTGCAGATGACATTAAGCTATACATATATATAAAAACAAAGACACTATCAAAAATCTCCTAGAGTTGGTTAATAACTTCAGTAATGTTGCAGGATATAAAATAAATGCCTCCAAATCAGTTGCATTTATATACTCAAATAATGAGCTCACAGAAGGAGAAATAAAGAAATTAAACACATTTACAATTGCCATGAAAAATAAAAAAAATACCAGGGATCAATTTAAAAAAGGAGGTGAAAGACCTCTACAATGAGAACAACAAAACATTTCTGAAAGAAGTTAAAGAAGACACAAAAAGATGGAAAGATATCCCTACTCTTGGATTGGAAGAATTAACATTCTGAAAATGTCTGAAACACCCAATGTGATCTACAGATTCAATGCAATCCCTATCAAAATAACCATAACATTCTTCACAGAAATGAAAAAAACAATCTTACCTTTCACATGGAACAAAAAGACCCTGAATAGCCAAAGCAATCGTGAGCAAACAAAATAAAGCCAGTGGCATAACACTACCTGACTTCAAATTATACTACAGAGAAATTTTAACCAAAACAGCATGGTACTGGTATAAAATTAGACACTCAGACCAGTGGAGCAGAACTGAGAACCAAGAAATCACCCCTCAGGCTTACAGCCATCTGATATTGGACAAAGGCAACAAAAATCTACATTGGATAAAAGACTGCCTCTTCAAAAAGTGGTACTAGGAAAACTGGATATCCATATGCAGATGAATGAAACTAGATATGCATCTCTCACCAAACACTAATATCAATTCATATTGGATTAAATACTTCAGCTTAAGGCCTGAAAATGTAAAATTACTAAGGGAAAATATAGGTGAAACACTTCAGGAACTAGGTCTTGGCACAGACTATGAATATGAGCCCAAAAGCACAAGCAGCAAAAGAAAACATTAACAGATGAGACTGTATCAAACAAAAAACTTCTGAACAGCAAAAGAAACACTCAACAGAGTGAAGTGACAACCTACAGAGTGGCAGGAAATTTTTGCTAATTATGCATCTGACAAGGGATTAATACCCATAATATACAAGGAACTTAAGGAATTATACATTAATTGGAACATTAAAAACAACCCCAGCATTAATAAAATAAAATGAAAGGTATGTAGTGAAAAAAATATTCGCCAATCATATTTCTGGTTAAGATTTTATGACTCAAGCATATGATGTTTTATAATTCAATTGTAGGAGGACAATCAAATAATTATGAGCAAAAACATGTAAAATACATGAACAGGCATTTTACTGAGGAAAGTACAAAGTAGTGTAACCGTAGCCACTTCAACTTTTGCTGTGTCTCACTGTGCATGATTGGCAGGTGACAGTTACCTGCAGCCCCCACTTTTTCTGCCCGTGAAAAGGTTTGAACAACTCTCTTCAAGTTTTTCATCAGGTTTCTCTGCTGTCATTGTCTGACACTGAGATGTTCTGTCTTGAAGCTTAGAAAAGCAATGTTTGTCCTCCAGGATAATTTGGTATTGCACTCTTGGCTTTTTCTTCATGTGTATAAATTGTTGCTCATAACCTTGGACACTTCCTGTATATGATTCAATTCAAAATGCCTTCTCATCTAATTTGACTTACAACTTATCTAAATGGTCTACATGCAAGAAAAAAATCACACTGCAAGAGATTTGCCTTTACCATTTTAGTAACTGGCCTAATAAACATTTTGCCTTTTGTCAAAATAATTTCTCATGTTGTCTTTATCAGGCTTGTGATTACTTAGAAAGGCTGAGCTCTGACAGAGTTAAGGTGTTGACATCTGAGCTACATTCTGAGTTCCTTTGAAGTCTCTTGTTATCTCTGTGGTTGAATAAATTACTCTTACTTCACAGTGACCTACAATCCAATTTTGATCCAATGTTGTGAACATTTACACATTCTTGAAGGGCTTCCCTCATAATAAAATTCTAAATTAAGTCTTTGAGATTTTCCAGCTGGGAACCTGGAGGGCCTCAATGAATATAACTCTCATCTCGTGGAGATATGAAATGATTAAGCTTATTTGGTAAGTTTTGTGGGAAGGGTGGTGAAATAATCGATATTACTAAATCTTCTTCAGTTACATTTGTAGATATGTTGTTGATATAAATGCTACAAAGTTATGTAAAACTCTTAAAACAGAATATGTTTTAGTGATATTTCCTTGTTATGAAAACCTTCTTTAAGTCTATATTTGTATAGATATAATGGTCCTGATGTGACACTATCGGTGACATTTTGGTTTGTATCTTAAGAAGCTGTATGCAGTAGAAACTATCAAATTTACTGCTCCACTGTTGATTGTAACAAACTTTCATCAGATTTGAACCATGACTATTCTATGTCTGACTTCCACAGTTTTGATTTTTCTCGAGTCATGTACAATAAGATTTGTGGAAAACGACTATAACAAGTAAACTTAAATACAGGTTTCAAATATCTTGAAGATGAATGGACAAAACAAAAGTTTTTTTTTTTTAACTCTAATAAAAATCTGATGGTTTTATAAAACTGCTAAAAGAGATCAAGCAAACCAAAAATTAATTACAAGTTAAGTAACTAATGAAGATAATGCTTTTATGACTTCACCTTAAAAATTATTAGTTCTTTTCTTAAATGTGTTTTTTCCCCATATTTAAGAAACTTTCTCTCTCCTAAGCTATCTATACCTCAAAGCAATTTGTCAAAATATACTTTTGTGGGCCGACCCTGTGGCGCACTCGGGAGAGTGTGGCGCTGGGAGCGCAGCAGCACTCCCGCCATGGGTTCGGATCCTATATAGAGATGGCCGGTACGCTCACTGGCTGAGTGCGGTGCAGCCGGTCACATGGAAGCATTTACTTTTTTCTCCTTTTATATACCTCCAAAATTGGGAACATGTTGATGTGAGTTCTTAAGATTTTGATGACAATATGGTTATTTGCATAAGTTTAATAAAAGTTTTCTCTCTCCTTATACAGAATGCAATTAGAAACAATGGTTATATTGCATGGCATTTACTAAAATATCATATTAGAAAATGTATATAAAATGCCTGACTTCAAGAGTTCTCAACCCTAAAGAGAGTAAATATAACTGTCACCACTGGGCAGTCCCAAGGACTTTAAGACAAAAGGTAAAATCTAAAGTCAGCCTTAGTTTGGCTTCCTAGACTCAAGTGTGTGTTGCTTTTTTTCTTTTTTTATTTTCTTTTTTTTTTTTTGCTGTTGTTATTTTTCCTCAATCTCTTTTTTTTTTGTTAAATTTTTATTTTGTCAATATACAATGTATATGATTATTATGGCCCATCACCGACACCTCCCTCCCTCCTCCCTCTCTCCCCTCCCCCCCAAGAATGTCCTTTCCGTTTGCTTGTTGTAACAACTTCAAAAA